AAGAGTCAATTGTAGAGTTTGTGAAAAAGTTGGGGTGCAAGCTGAAGAACCCGAATGACCTAAAAGCCTACATGCAAAATAAAGAGGACAGCAAGATGAAGTTTAGAAGGCTGAGTGAAGTGGAGAGATTAAAAAAAGATTTTGAGGGGGACAAGAAGTTCGAAGTGAAAGGGAATAGAAGAAAATGGTCTAAATAGTTCTTGGAGATCTTAGGGTTAAAGCCTTTAGTTTACAATGAGAATCCTAAGTTGGAATGTGAGGGGGTTGGGCAGCTTTAGGAAGAGAGCAACAATCAAAGAAGTAATTAAGAAATTCAATCCAGATGTGGTTATGCTTCGGGAGTCCAAAGGAATGGATTTTGATTGCAGCTGGGCAAGGAGTGTGTGGAGTTCTAGAGGTATTAAGTGGGTGGTTGCTCCTTCGTGGGGTTCCTCGGGAGGGATTGTGACCTTGTGGAAAGAAGAGATTCTCTTAAGTGTGGAGGAGCTAATTGGAGATCACTCTGTCTCCCTGAAGTTCAAACAAGTGGCCGATGGGTATGAATGGGTACTAACAAATGTGTATGGCCCCAATGACTATAGGCAAAGGGAGAAATAATGGGAAGAACTAAGTGACATTAGAGGCCTTTGGGATGGACCCTGGTGTGTGGGAGGGGACTTTAATGTAGTGAGATTTATGGAGGAAACCAACAACCCAGACAGAGAGTGACAACAAGTATGAGAAAGTTCAACCAATTTGTGGACTCTTTTAATCTCAAAGAACTTCCTTTCCTAAAAAATAACTTCACTTGGTCCAACCTTCAATCCCAGCCAATTTGCTCTTAGTTGGACAGATTTTTGTTCTCAACAGATTGGGAGGATCATTGAGGCAACATTACTTCTAGGGCTCTCCCTAGACTCACTTCAGACCACTGGCCAATAGTTTTGGTCAATGAGGAATTAAGAGGAGTAGGGTCTACCCCTTTCATGTTTGAAAATATGTGGTTGTCTCATCCGGGTTTCACTGAGAAAATCAGAGAGTGGTGGGAGCAAGCGAATCCAGTAGTTGATTGGGAGGGAATGAGGTTCCACAAGAAACTCCAATACCTAAAATCTCAATTAAAGGAGTGAAATAGGCTGGAATTTGGAAGATTAGAAGAGACGAAGCAAGTTCTGGTGGAGCAAATTGAGGATTTGGACCTGAAGGAAGAGAGAGGCCCCTTTGGAGAGGAAGTAAGGAAGTTGAGATGGGCTTTAAGGAGGAAGTTGGAGGACATCCTGATCAAGGAGGAAATCAGTTGGAGGCAAAAATCTAGGTGTAAGTGGCTAAGGGAGGGAGACAGAAACACAAGGTTCTTCCATTCAGTGGCAAATGGAAGGAGAAAGAAGAATTACATCTCTAACTTGGAAGTTGATGGAGCAGTTTTGTCTCAC